GCTATTTTAGAAGACATTATATACAGGAGTCTTTGTGGTTAAACTGGGAGAAGATAAAAAAACAATGTTATTTGAAAATTCCAGTTTGGTTATCGACGATAGAAGCGTTTTCTTATCCTATAATTTATAAAAAGGAACAAACAGTTAGATATGGGGAATTACTAGATGAAAAGGGTGAACTTAAATCGATACAAAACTTAGAGGAACAAGGTATACAGATGAATTGGTTTTCATATGTGCAAATACACTCAAGGTATGATGAGGATTCCAAAACAGAGGGATTTTATGATAAACAGACTGATTTAGATAAGATTTTGATGGGTACTGATGAAAAGGTGATTAAAAAATTATATGGTTACTTATTGGAAATTAAGCTGGAGGAAGAACAAGTTAAGGAAACTATGATTGCTTGGGGGAGGAATTTTGGATATGGGATTGATTTAGAGAAATGGCAGAATTTATGGTTGCAAAATTATAAAATGACAATGTCTACAGCCTTTAAAGAAAACTTGTATAAGATGTTTTACAGGTGGCATTTTCCCCCGACAAGGATAGCAAGAATGTTCAAGAACAAATCGGAAAAATGTTGGAAATGTCATCAGAAACCTGGTTCATATTACCATATGTGGTGGACTTGTGAGGATGCTAGAAAATATTGGACTAAAATCCGCATGTGGTTGGAAAAAATGACAAACATATAGACTTGAAACTGGAGCTTTTCTTATCGGGAATCTTACCAGATGTTTATAGTAAAGATTTAAAATATTTGATTGTAAATGTATTAACTGCGGCTAGAATTGTATTTGCAAAAAATTGGAAAAATGAGAAAATTCCATTGCAGGAAGAAGTTATTAAGAAAATATTGGAATGTGCTGAGATGAGTAGATTGACATTTGAAATTAGAGAGCAAGAAGATAAACAATTTTATACAATTTGGGACCTTTTCTATCAATGGCTGGATGATGAAATACAAAAATAGAATATTTAGAATGTTAGGCAATAAGGAATATTATTGATTTTACTTCTCTTTTTTCTTTTGGTATTTGACATTACATTTATAAAATGTTTTTGTTTTCTTTTTTTTTTTAGGATAGAATTGGTATGATTATATGATTTGTTATAGAATAAATTACTTAAATTATAGTTATCTCATAAGGCATGATTGAATAAAAGTAGAGTCAAATCTTTTTTTTTTCAATAATGATATGAGAATATATAAGTTTGGATTGATAATAAGAGTTATTATGTAAGGTAATTGTAATTGTGACTACGAAATGAATGCACAAAACTGATGAACCAACCGACACACTGTTTGTATATAAGTACGGACGAGAGCTGATGTTTTTATGTTTTGTTTGTTTGTTAAAAAAACAATAAAATTGTTTTCAAAGAGAAGAGGCCCTCTAGATCCCAGATACTGAGACCTGGCTCTTTGCCCCCTAACCATTCAAGATGCGGTGGGTGCTGCTTCCTCCTCCAACAGTGGCATTTGAGAAGGCACGAGGCGCTGCTCTGCACCATGGAACTGCTAAACCTGCCAAGGGAAAACGGGCAAGGGGCTCACAGGAGCGAAGGGCACGAGGGAGGCTCCCCGTCTGGGAAAGGGCACCACCCAGCAATGCCTTTCCACAACCACCACCCTACGCTACTGCAAGTGGACCTTGGCTTACGACGGCAACGGAGCCCTACATTTCTGCCGCCGAGACCACCAAAGCCAGTTTTGCCATTTGAATGGCCTTTCTGGCCACGCCAGTGAGTCACACGGTCGTTGAGGGAATGTGGCTTCCCCAGGGATTTGTCACGCGAGCCCTCGGATGCTGCGACCATCGTAAATACGAGTCGGTTGCCGAATGGCCCAAATTTGGATCATGTGAATAACTGCGACAGTCCTAAGGTACCTTTTTCAAACTGTCATTAAATGAATGGTTCTAAATTAAGGACGATCCGTGAAAAACTATAAGTAAAACACTATCAAGATCCAAATAATTCAGCCCTAACTAAAAAAAGGGGGGGGGGGAGTAAGATGAGCAGAATGGTGGTTGAATCCGTTATTAATCTATCAACCTGTCAAGAAGGACTGGGGGGGACACATGATAGCAGTCTTCCAATATTTGAGGGGTTGCCCCAAAGAAGAGGAAGCGGTCAAGCTATTCTCCAAACCACAGAAGGCAGAACAAGGAGCAACTAAGGAGAACTAAGGAAAAACTACCTAACAGTGGGGACAATTAACCAGTGGCACTACTTGCCACCAGAAGTTGTGGGTGCTCCAACAGTGGAGGTTTTAAATAAGAGATTTGTCTAGGATGGTATAAGGCAAGGGTAGGCAACCCTCGGCTCTAGAGCCGCATGTAGGTCTTTCCTTCCTCTGCTGCAGCTCCCTGTTGCTGGTCGGCTCCACAATTTTGGTTAGGACAGGTAAAGGAAAAAGGACGCTACACTTGGAGGAGACACTATGGTTGGGGGAACTGCCATGGAGTTTGGTCAGCTCCAGAATTGAAAGGGGTGGGGCGCTCCCGGTTAGGGCCTTTGTGACTGGTTAAGGTTGCCGACCCTTGGTGTAGAGACTCCTGCTTTGAGCTAGGGGTTGGACTAGAACAGTGGTCACCAACTGGTGGGCTGAGCCCCCCCCCCCGCAAAAAGCAATTAATCC